TATGACAACATGAAATATAGTTCAACTCAAAATTCTATCTTTCCCAAATCCTAGTATTCATTTCATTAACCTATAATTCGAATTTCCAAAAATAAATAGCAATGACATATCACATAAGAACTCTTAAGTCATCAGCACTGTCATCACTAAGGGGTTCTTCATTTGAATCATCATTATGATGAACTGCTCTCTCCCCTTCCTCCTCTCCTATAGAGTCCAATGCTGGGCATTTACTTCAATATTTATGTAAATTTTAATATATATAGGGTGAGGCGCCGAGGCAGGCCTCAAGGCCGGCCTCAACCCAGTTGGGGCGCAAGCCTCATAAAAAAACTGGAGGTGTAAGCATCGAGTCATTTTTTATTGGAATTGCGCAAAGCCGGGCCTCAAGGCGAGCCTCATATTGCGCAATTTTAAACCATGCATACACTTGATTAGTTTATGAATGGTTTATATAAAGCATATCTTATGGTTATATATGTAATAAGTGTATGTGCATGTTGACGCGGGAGTATCACATGGTAAAGGAGGCTCTTATGAGCCATGGTAAAGGATGGTTCCTATGAACCAATGGTAAAAAAAATGGCCAAATTTTATGTACCTGATCAATACAAATGGTACTCCCGAGACGGGTGTTATATTTACATATTAAACTATTATGAACATTTCATATTCACGTTATATGCATTTGAGACTATCATGTGCGACAAAATGTTAAAAGAAAAAATGGAAATGTTATGAAAGGAATGAGAACTTGAAGGTTGAGGAAAAGCTATGCATCTCTTTGAGCAAAAGTTGATATATGTTGATAATTCTTTTGTTAAAATACTAAAGCATATTATAGTTTCCTTTTATTGGCTCTAACTTTATTTGAATTCCTTTCGCACCTATTAAGTTTTATGACTTACCCTCATTGTGGGAACACTTTTCAGGAGGATCTAAGAAAGAATAGATGACAGACCAACCACCGTGCACTTACCGTCGTAGGGAGACGACGGGCGGCAGGTTCTTTTGAGTTTTATTATTTTGTTGATAGATGGTTGATTGTAGATTTTTGAGAGAGTTAGATTTATTTTTGGATCCTCTCTTATGGAAGAACTCTCTACGTATATGTTCCTTTTGAAGATGAATGAGAAATAAAAACTTATTTGGATTTACTTTAGTGGCTCTTTCATTATATAGTTGGAGATGTTCGGTTTATATTAAATGATTTGATGTTATGCTATGAAAATTAATTTTCATCCTGTCCGATCTCTGTTCCCGCCTCGCCCTTGCGAGCTAACCGGGCCGGATCGTGACATCAACAGATGCCCTTTGAGTTCTGCTAAAATTCTATCCCTCCTCTAACTAATGATCTACACTAGATACTGGTGTAGTGCTCTCCCCGTAGTATATCATATGGGGTGTGTCCCTCCCATAAAGGATCCTAAATGGTCTGTGCAGCTGTGGAAGGATATATTGTACCAATACTCTGCCTATGCCAATCATTTGGCCCATAATTTTGGTATCTGATATCAAACAACGCACGTATGTCTCCACACTCTTGTTGACTACTTTCGCTTGGTCGTCCGTTCATGGGTGATATGTTGTGCACCTTTTTAATATCATCCCTTGCATCTTCAATAGCTCCCTCTAAACAAGAATGAGAAATACCCAATCTTTGTCTGATACTATTGATTTTGGAATGCCATGTAAACATAGTATCTCTTTGATAAAGACTGTGGCGACTGATATAGCGATGTAAGGATGTTTTTGTGGAATAAAATAGGCATATTTGCTTTGTCGGTCTACAACCACAAGTATTACTGAATATTCCTCCGAACGTGGTAATCCCTCAATGAAGTCAATGGTCACTTCCTCCCAAACCCTTTAAGGTAAAGTAATGGTTGCAGTAGCCCTCCTAGTGCCATAGTAAGGTACTTATGCCTCTAACACACATCAAATCTTGCCACTATGTCTTCCACATCCTGGTGCATTCCCACCAAATATAGCTCAGTGGCTAGTCGACTGTATGTTTTATGGACTCCTAAATATCTCCCTATCATGCACTGCCATGAAATTCTTGCAACAACTTGGGAATATAACTTTAGGATCATGGCAGTACAAACCTCCCTTGGTAGAGTAATTGGTCCTCATTCAAAGCATAATAGTTGTGACTATTTGGGTCCCTCAACAATTCTTCCCCGATCTTCATAAATCATTCATCCTGCTTGTTCTCCTCCCTCAATGCTTCCCAATCTAAGATCATTGGTACTAACAAGGCTGCCAACTATGGCTCCATGACCCTCCTAGACAAGGTATCTGCTGCTTTAATTTCTAAACCCGGCCGGTACTGGATCTCAAAGTCATAACTATGAAATTTGGATAGCCATCTCTAGTGCCCCTCTATGATCATTCGTTGCTCCAACAAATACTTCATACTCCTTTAGTCTGTCATGACTATAAAATATCTCCCCAATAGATAGGGTCACCACTTCTAAATTGTCAAGGCAATCGTAATAAGCTCCCGTTCATATATTGACTTGAGCCTTGCCTTGGCTGTGAGTACTTGGCTGAAATATGCAATAAGTCTCGGGTCTTGCATGAGTACTTCTCCTAACCAATAACCCGATGCATCTGTCTCCACCACAAATGGTCTCCCAAAATCTGAGAGCGCTAGCACAGGTACACGGGTCATAGCTGTCTTTATCTCTTGGAATGCTCGAGTCGCTTCCTCCCCCCACTTGAACTTATACTTCTTCAATCACTCTGTCAGAGGTCTTACTATGATGTCATATCCCTTCACAAACTTTCGGTAGTAATTGGTGAGTCCTAAGAACCCCCGAAGCTCCCTCAAGTTCTTAGGAAGAGGCCAGTCTACCATGGCATGAATCTTCGACTGGTCAGCTGAAACCTCCTATCTGGAAATCACATGTCCTAGATACTCCACAAGTGTTTTCCCAAACATGCACATTTTCCAGTTGGCAAAATTGATGCTCCACCAAGGTCTCCATTATTGTATTTAAGTGCTCCCAGTGTTCTGCCTCTGTCTTGATGCATATTAAAATGTCATCATTGGTATTCAAGCCTTCGGAGATGTGGCTGGAACACTCGGTTCAGAAGTAACTGGAAGGTGGCAAGGGCATTGGTATTGGTGAGGTCAAAAGGCATCACGTAGTGCCCATTATATGTTTGGAAGGACGTCTTATATACATCAACTGCCTTCATCCTAATCTGATGGTATCCTTACTACGAATCAATCATGAAGAAGATTACTGCTCCAAATAACAAATCCAAGAGTTCATCAAGCACTGGAATGGGAAACTTATCCAGCATTGCTTCCTTGTTTAGAGCCATGTAATTTACACAAAACCTCCAACTATCCTTCTTTCTCATCAACAGGACTGGACTAAAAAAGGGACTCACACTAGGTCTGATGATCCTTGCTTCCATCATCTCCCTGATTATCCTTTCTATCTCATCTTGGGGGTAATGGTTTGGTCTGATACTAATAGAAAAAGTCGCCTCTTTTAGATTGATGGCATGCTCGTGCTCTTGTGGTGGTGGTAACCAGATAGGTGGCTGAAATATGTCCTGATACTATTGTAAAATTGGTTGGACCCTCATTGGAATTTCCCTTGCCTCCTATTCCTGTACTTCTTCTATGCTTTGTAACTCCACCAAAATACCCCATGCCTGCATCCTGGATCGTCCTGAGCATGGTTTTAACTGATGCAATGGTCTTGCATAAGCTAACGTCCAAGCGCATATAAAGCTCATATACAGTAAACCCTAAACCCTAGATGAAGTTCAACCAAAGAGCAAAATAAAGTGCAAATACAAAATAGTTCAGTAATGACAGTTTGAATTACCAAACAAAAACATATAACAAAATACAAATGAGCAACCTTTTTTAAAATGCGCAGGTAAAGCGCAAGTAAATGTGCAACAAAGGCGCAACAATGGCGCAACTTCTCTCGTACCTTTGTTACAAACTTTTCCCAACTTCGTCTACCGTCGATGAGGTCCTGGAGAATGAAAATGCCGAAGGATTTGAAGAACTGCTGAGAACCGATGTGGGAGAGTGTGGCAAGTATGGTCGAAACTTTTTGCATCTTTTGGTATTCATAATTTCAAATAAATCAGGTTGTCGAGCGGGGAGGGTCGGTCGGGCTGATAAGACAAAGTAAGAATAATACAGAAAAAAAATTCCACGTGGAAGTTCCACATGTAAACATTTTATTGGTGTCCGAACGCAAAGATAGGTCTAGTGGCCATACCTAATAATTTTCCTGTTAAAATCAGCCTTCAAGTGTGCTAGTAATCATCCCCTTAAATACCACCAATATGAAACATATTTTTTTCTAATCCAGAAAGTAATGACGGCATGTTTAACACTTATATAATGTAATTAACACATGTTTAACTGTGCAATCCATGATAAGAAAGAAAATCATGTTTCTTTTTGTAATAGCAGATGAATTTCTTAACTGGCACCAAGCATGCAAGTAACATAGCCATCACGTGTAATATGAATGATGGAGAATTTTAGAGATCCAATTTGGATTTCCTAAATACGCGTTGATAACTTTCAATACAGTGAATTTGGAGGTTCTAACCTTTCTGGGCATTCAAAACGTAAAATGCAACTCTCTCATGCACACGGAAAATTTGTATTCAAATATGGACTTCCTAAAATATCGGAGTCCAAATATTCTATAAGTTTATGGATAAGTTTATATCGCAATAATGATACAAACTGACACTACATGTAGCGGTGCATTTATTGCCATTATCCAAATGCTTCTTAAAAAGCAAACCATTCCTATTAATTTCATTGATATGCAAGACAACAATTAGGATCATTAACATTGCCATTTACAAAAATGGGGCACTTCTTGTTTAGTCGATAATATTTACCTTTTTATATGCACGGATACATCCACCGGAACAAAAAGTAAAAGATGATAAAATAGAATAAGGCATAACTAAGATCTTTTTAGTGAATTTTTAGAGCATACAGTTGACCGAATGGGAAGATCAAAGAGATGAGGAATTCCGAACTGCTGGACAACCTACAGAAATGTAAATTGACAAGTTAAAACAAAGATGACTATTAATAGGAAAAGGAAAAGTTTGCACAAATCACATGCCTGAGCCCCAGAACCCTTTCCAAAAGGGTAATAACGCTTACCATCAGCATCAAAATAGCACATGTTCTCGACTACGGCAACACATGGAACCTTCAAAAAATACACAAACGAGAGAGTTGCCGCTAAGTAAATTTTAAGTTGACACAGAACTAACTGTCGTGCAAGAATTACGTTCTCCTATCCCAAATTTATAGAAGCGTTATCATGCAGGAACAAGCTAGAATAACATCCAACAATATCTGATCACTGATCGTTGTAGATAAGGACATCGAACATAATGATATTACTAATTGATTAAATGATGCACAACTTATCAACAAGCAAACCTTAAGCTTTGAAAACATGCGAACTCCTTTTGCCACATCAATAAATGCTAGCTTCTGCGGTGTAGTGACAATCACTGCTGCAGTTAATGGAGCGACCTAAAAAAATATAAACCTTATTTTGCCATAGAAAATAAATAAAAGCTCAAAAGAGCATCAAAAGTTGATGGCTATAGCAAAATGAATTCATGAACTGCACCTGGCACAGAGTAAGCTGAATGTCACCTGTTCCAGGAGGCATATCAATAACAAGATAGTCTAGCTCTCCCCTGCATGGTGCAAGAGTTGGTAAAAGCTGTGTAATTTTGCATCAAAAGGAAACATTTTATCATAAAAGGAATAGAATTTGACTGACCAGGGGGCTGGGTTATCTGTTCCTAAAGTGCAAAAGAAAAAAGAGAAATGAAAAAAACAGTGGATAAAAAACTTTCAGGTGTGTGCTTTTTGCAGATGTCCGGGTCTATGATCTGATGTGGCCTGTGGTCTTGTAAATAAACTTCTTGCGTGTGTTTTGCCTGCTTGCTCAATCAGGTATGGGATTGAGGTTACGCAAATACACACTTTCCGGTGCCTGCTTGCTCAACCAAATCTGACGCAAATCGGCACCGATTCGAGACCAATTTTGTAAAATTGGCTCAATCGAACGCAGTCGGACCCAAATCGACCCAAATCCGTTTGGATCAAGTCTAATTCGGGCTCAATTTCAACCAAATCTATCAAATTCAGGCTCAATTGACTTTCCTAATCCAGAGACTAGATCCAACGGATTTCAATTTATTAAAATCAGTGAGCTTTGTCATTCCTCAAATCCTTGATTTTCTAGGATTCGCAGCAACAGCAGGTTAGTTCGAGCAAAGCAAATCCTCGTTTCCTGCATAGAGAGAGTGGGAGAGGGAGGAGACCATTGAGACTTCGTTTGCTTTGTGCATCCGACCTAGAGAGCCAAGAAAAAAAATTGGCCAAGTGTTTTTGGCTTGCGTGCGGACCTCCCAGTCGAGGCAGGGGAGAATGAGGCGGAGGCAAGCGGCATAAGTGGCCTTCATGGGTTCAATACTAGAGGAGGGTGCGGGAGAAGGGACGGCGTCTAGCAAGCAGCGCAGCCAGCCTGCGTGCGTGCATCTGAGCTAGACAGAACCAAAGAGGGGATAGGAAGGTTCGCCTGCTTCTTGCGACCGAACCAGGGAGGGATCGGGAGCCACAAGTACCTCTCTTTGTGCGTTTAAGGTCAGATCAAACACAATGGAGAGTGCATCTGGACTTCTGGGCTGTCCGTTTGGGCTGATTGAGTGACAAAGAGGCTTCATCCTCATTTTCGTGCGTGTATCCCAGCCAAAAAAAGTACCTGGGAATTGGATTGCTACTTCCAGTTATAAGTGATTGTGAAAACTAAAGTTAGAAGGCTATTGTGGCCTCTCGTTTCCATCTAGAAAGAGTAGCAACTTCTTCCTTTTCCATCAACTCCGGCGAGCCCGTGGCAACAAAACAGAGGTCCAGAAAGTTTTGGACAGCAAATCCACCTCCCGGAGCATCTTAGACAGCAAATCTCTTCCTCCATTCTAACTCAAACTCGCCTATTGACAAGGCAAGTGTATAGCGGTTGTGCTGTGACAACCCAATGTGATAAAATCCATTGAAACTTAGCTAAACCTAGGTCTCCATGCCCTTTGGTTGAGTGTTTGATGCTCCAAAGCTGTAGGTTCCTTAGAAAACCTCACTTTTAACTTCCAAAACCTAAAGAAATCCCTTGTATTTTGCTGTCCACTTGTTTAATTCATGGAAATCAGGTGAGTTTCCATGATTTTCTCTCATGTTGTGTCCAATCCATCACCTAGAATCATGCCCTAGGGTAGATGCTATCATTTAATCTCAAATTCAATGACGACACATTGGTTTTGGACCGCCATTAGTTGCATGGACTTTTCATTCGAATGAATTGTCATGACTAAATTGACACTCAAATTTAGGATAGCTTGCATGCATTGAAATTAATGATCTCTATAGTTTTGTTTACTGCATGCATTGAATTTGATCGACTTAGGCTCTCTAGTTATTGTGAGACATAGGCCTTCAAAGATCTCTGTAACTAATCTCACAATATAAACAATCAATTAAATTTATATTTTGCATCATACGAAATTTGGAGTGTAGAATGGCAACCTTAAGTTGACTAAAGGGTGAGCGATGGGAGCATATGAGAAGCTCTTAAGCTTGCAGCATTTTTCAATTGTATGGTCTCTTCTTTCATTTATAGATCATGACAAAAAAATGATCTTCAAGCATACAAATGTGCCTATGTTGAAGTCTATGAGTTTGCATGAAATTTTGTACGTGTATGAGGATGGAATTAATCAACTTGAAAGAACACTAAATTTGGTGTGAGCCTTCTCATTAACGTCCATGGATTTATGTTGTAAGTCTCATGATATGCATTGTTGTTAAGTTTATATACAACACCTTGCAAAATAAACATGCTCTCAATTGTTAAAATCCTTAAAATTGGAGAATGACCTACACATGCATACTCTTCTAAGTTCTTTAAACCACGTCAATTTGATCATAGAACCCCTTAGAAGTTGTAGGAACAAACCTCTTCAATCCAAGTATCCTGATCATGCAAAAATTGATGTAGGAGTCCTTTCAAAACCTTAGGTGTATATTTCCCGTCTCCAAATGAATCCAAAACATTCATAGAAGAATAGGGGAACTCTCTTTCACATATACACCTCTTTCATGCTTGATGCTTGAAGCATTCTCAAAGCTCAAAGTGTTAGACTGTATGAATCTTAGCATACATTAGAAGATCTCTAGTGTATCCTCCTCCATCTCATGCATGGCAGTTTGGAGCACCTCAATGATCAAAACACTTTATTACATGAACCATATAACCTTAGGACCAAATCCTAGGTTGTTTGTTAATGCATCAAAATCAACAAACAATCATCTCTCCTTCCTCATGCATTGTATGTGGAGCCTCCTCAAGATTTCAGATGCTACATTATATGAGTCATTGGATCTTAGAACCAAATTCTAAATCATCCATCCCTTGTTTGTTGAAACATAAAATTAGCAAACAATCATCCATCTCTTTCAATCATCTCTCTTTCATGCACGGCCTTTGTAGAATTGGAGTCTTTGTTTATAAAGAGATTTCCAAGAACCTAGCATCACATTACAATGGGGGTCTTGTAGTGGAAAAATAGAGATCCAATGGTGGACTATATTCTTAGGTAGAGAAATCTTAACCTAAAGTGTGAACCATAACTCCAAGAACAACATGCCATAGAAATCTTACTAAGTAAGATTCATGATCCAACAGCACTCATCCTTAAGGGGTTCACTATTAGAACTTTTGAAAAGTTACTTAGTAGTACATCTAGACTTATTTTGAGGCAGCACAGTTGTCATTCCTTAAAATAACAGCAGTAGTGACCAAGCCAAGAAATTCAAATAGAAAATAGTTGAAAGAAAAGACAGTGTGTCAGCATTATCCTTTCAAAAGGGAAAACATATTCAGATTATTGAGCAGTAGTAGCCAAAGAAGATCACAAAGCAGCATCTCGGGAAAGATAAAAAAAGGCAGCCACAAAACCTGATCCTATGGGGTTGACAGAAAAGATCAACCAACAGTATTCTTTTAAAAGAGATTCTACAAAGAAAATCTTCAAGTCATTGGTTCAAGATGATAACTCCCAACTCCTTAAACCCAAAAGACCAATAGATGTTGACAAGAGAAATGAGCCAAACTATTGCCCTTATCATAGGATGTTGGATCATGTTTTAAAAGATTGCTATGTCTTTAAAGGTTGGGTTAAAAAGGAGTATAATCTGGTAGGATGAGTCTTCCCAATGCATACTTAGCAAACCCATCACATGGTCTACTAAGGTTATCCATTGTGGAAGTAATCCCTACTAAAGGGCAGAAAGAAGAGTCTGACATGGAAACTTCTTCACCTTCAGTAGTGTGTGATCAGAAAAAAAGGCAGTGTTGATGTGCTCATAGATATACATGGTTGGTAGTTAAACTTGCCCAAATCTTCTCTAAAAATGTTAAACAAACTATCCTAAACCCCATCGGAGTTTCCAAAAGGAACTTAAATGCCCACTAAAAGGCCGCTTTTGGTGTTCTTTCAAGTAACTCAATTGATAGAAAGTGTCCATCAACATTGAAACTCTCTTAGGGAAAAGAAAATAAAGAATCATTAACCCCTAAAATCAAATAAGTTATCCTCTAAATGGCAAGGGGAAATCCCCCAAGCCTATCACTCTTTCTTATTTCATGTATGTTCCAAAGGGTATTAATGAAATGAATAATCCTTCCGCGTATATGTTATATATCCATTCTAAATCTAAGAATAAACAAACTACAAATGAATCTTCTCAAATATTTGAATCAAGTTCTGATGAAGATCTACCCATGTACAAAATACAGGGAATAAAGATTAACATTGAGCCCGAGTCACCTGATTTAGAAACAACAGATTAAGTGTAAGAAGAATTAGATTCATAGGTTTTGGTTGATGTGACCTGACTTTCTGAGCCTAAACAAATAATAAAAATAAATCTAAGAAGTGATTGTGTTGTACTAACTCCAATGATATTAAAAAAATATAAGGGAAAAAACCTATCAATTAAAATGCGAGCGTGATTCCACCAACACCTACTCCACAAGAGCAAATGGGTGATGAACCATCAAAAGTGGATTATAATATATTATCTCACCTTAGGAAACTCCCTACAAGGCTGATTATATATGAAGCACTCGTACTTTCTCCTGAAATGCGAAAGGCTTTGATCAAAAGCTTTATTTGATCCTGAAATTTGTTTAACTCAACTTGCAGAGTGTTCATCTGAGGAGGCTTTACACTTTAAAGAAGTACATGGAATTACATTTTCTAATCAAGATCTACTCCTATGAACTTTAGATCACAATCGTCCACTTTACATAACTATGGATATTTATAGTTATAGGCTGAATAAAGTAATTATTAACCTAGGTGCATTGGTCAACATAATAAGCCTAAGAAATTTGGGCCACCTCAATGTTGACAAGTAGAAATTAAGTTCTAACAAAATGATGTTGTGTGACTTCAATGAAAAAGGACAAAGATCTTTAGGCTCAATTACTCTTTCACTGTTGATGGGGGATCTGAGAATTGAAGCTAAATTCAACATAATTGATTCTAAAACTTCATTTAAAACACTTTTAGTATACCTTGGCTCCATGAATACAAAATAGTTCCTTATTCTATGCACCAATGCATGAAATATGAGCGCAATGATGTAGAATACTGCATAAATGGAGATTTGAAACCATTTAGTGTACATGAAGTCGAGAAATACGAAGAAGCTTCTTGCTATGTCCAAAGAGACAAGCAAAGTACCGACCCAAGATCAAGCAGAATCTAGTACACTAAAGGTAAAGTCTCCATCACCTGTCAAATACCACCCTCAAGAAGAAGAACTTAAGGAAAAGATCAGATGAAATCCTGCCCCTCCTTCAACACAACGAGGAGGTAGGAAGCAGAGGTCGTGGCACAGTCCATGACAGAGGTCAGAACGAGTGTAAGATGAGGGCCACCAAAACCCCATCTCCACCATTTACTCCAGGAAGGCTCATCACTCATGTAGGCTCAAGATCCAATTCAAAGGCTAAGCCAAATTTGATGGGTAATTCGACCAAGGCTATAAAGAACTCCTAATAAAATAGAAATGCAGCTTTAAAATGGGTAATCACTAAAAAGCCTATTTGGAATATTAAAGAAAATCTATCATGTGATGAAGATAACTCTCAAAAAAAAGGATGTGTGTGATTTCCTTGTGTATGAAAAGTTAAATGAGTAAGTCAAAACATTAACTTCATTGTCTAAAAGCATAGTGTAGGATTTAAATGTATATGTTGCACCGAAACTAGAAGATGTGAGAAAGGAGTGTGTCTTTCATAGTGCACTTGAATTCTCCAGTTTAGAAGTGGGTGAAGAACTTGATCTTTCATTAAATAAAATGATAGAACTATCCTTTGATTGGTATCCTGCTTGTGTTAAAAATTTAATTAAGAAAGGTCTAACTCCTATGTGGTCCAAGAGCAAAGCTCAACACCTACAAAATTTATGGAATTCCAAATACAAAGAAAAGAAAAACAAATATGGTGTTAGCTTTAGTACTGTCAGAGCAATAGATGATAATGATTATTGTTTAATTATCACGAACAATTTGGATGTTGATATGATCTTTACAAAGACCTCCAATATTGTTGGGAGATCATATTTAGAAACAACAAACAATCATAATTACCTTCAAATTAGGGATGTACCCCCTGAGCTTGAAGATGAAATCAAATCAACAATTGATGAATTGAAATAAATTAATTTGACTACTAAAAAAAATTCACGCCCCACTTTCATAAGTGCATTATTAAATGAAACTCATGCCAATGATATGGTACAACTCCTAAAAGAGTTTTAAGGACTATTTTTCCTGGAGATATGATGAAATGCTAGGCTAACATCCAGACATAGCAATCCATAAACTTGTCATTCAATCAAATGTTGTTCTAGTCAAATAAGCTCCTAGAAGGATGCATTGGAAATTGAACATGTAATTGAAAAAGTTAAAATATTAATTGAAATTGGCCTTATTTGAGAGGAAAAATATCTCTCTTGGTTGCCTAGCATTGTCCTTGTTAAGAAAAAAAACAAACGAATTCGTGTATGCGTTGATTTTAGAGACTTAAATAAAGCGTGTCTTAAAGATGAGTTCCTGTTACCCATACTTGAACTCATAATTGACATTGCTTCTTCTCACAATTTCTTTTCCTTTATAGATGGGTCCTCGGGATACAATTAAATAAAAAATGGCCCCAGAGGACAAGCAATATAATGCTTTTAGAACACCCATTGGAATATACTATTATAAGATCATGCCTTCTGAACTCAAAAATGTTGGTGCAACCTACCAGCGTGCAATGACCAGAGTATTCGATGAACTCATTCATGACAAAGTTAAATGTTACATTGATGACCTCATGGTCAAAAGCAAAGAAAAAGAGGATCACCAATATGACTTAAGAGTTATATTTGAATGGCTTTGTCAGTATGACATCAAGATGAATCCCTTGAAGTGTGCCTTTGGGGTAACTTTAAGAAAATTTCTTAGGTATTTTGTTTCACACCGTGGCATTGAAATTGACCCTACCAAAATCATTCACAAAACATATGCATGATATGGATGATCATTTCTTAAAAAAAGAGCTACTAATGACGATAATCACAAATTATTTGTTGAGGTGAATAGCGATCCATTTTTAAATTTAAATATGTTGATAAAGTAATTATGCTTTTAAATCTAGAAAGGGTTCTATCTGAATCATTTAAAGTATTGAATTCAAAGAAAGAACCATTTAAAATTGTACAAGATATTAGAACTAATGCATACAACTTGAAAATTCCATGAATTTCCCATATAAATCTATTTTTCAATGTATCTGGTTTTGATCTCATTTCATGAACCTACTACTTTTTAGACTACACTCTCTTTCTACCTCTTCCTTGTAGGTCCACTTTCCAATCCCCTAACATGTACTTTATGCAACTTCTTCCTGAAGGATAATCAGATTGCATCTATTGCTGATGATAGATTTCAATAAGACCTTTATTAACGAGACATGCCTGACTGTGATGATTCATGAATTAATATACAAGAGGGTAATAATTTATGTCTGAATTTGCTTGATGAGTATCAAATGCTAAACTATTCAGAGAAGAATTTATTAAAGACGGATAAATTTGATGAAAATATTCACATTTATTCTCATTAAAAGCATCATATCAAGTATTAATTTGTATGCTACCATAATTTTTTTTTAAGTTGGTTTTTTTATTAGCTGGTTCATTTTATATCTTTTTATTTTGTATTAGAGTGCATGGCCTTGATGATGGCCGAGAAGGATTGTATTTCCTAGCTTATATTATAGTTTATTGATTTGCATTATTTTTGTTTTGATTTAATTTAGGGTATTCCGATAAAAGATTGAGGAAGCAATGGACTCTTATCAATTATTTGTTATCAAAGTTTAAATTATTAGGAGTTGAGCATGTTTTGCTTGCACGTTTTAGCAAAAGCAGGATTTGCGTGGACTTGAGGTGGATGTGGGATTTGTGTTGTACCTTAAAGGCCGGTTCAATTAATCTTATTGGTGAACAAAACCTACCTTTTGGTCATTCTACATAAGCTTTCAATGAAATATGAATGAACTTAATTATCCTCCAAAGTTAGAATAAAGAGGCCGTCAACAGTTCACAGCACATGTTTGCATGTTTTGCTGAATGCTTGATGCAAAACGAAAGCAGAATGAAAAGCCCGCAGTGAGTGGAAAATACTACAAATGTGTAAAATGCATAAAACCAATGATCTAAGGTTAATATTATGGTATTGGTTAGAATGAAACATAATTATTTGCATACTTGTGCTGCATTTTGTAAAGAGAAGCCAGCAATAGCCTCCTTTTCCTTTTGGAACGTACAAGAATGAAAAGTCTAACACCTTTCCTCAACGCTGAGAATACAATTTAAAATATAATATTGATATGTGATCATACCATTCAGCAGTAGTAAGTAGTTGATTGATAACCCCCGAGACCATAGGACCACGCATTATTGCACGCCCTTGTCCAACAAAACCAAAAGAAACCAATTTGACGCCCAAGTATTCTGCTGGAAGTATGGTTTTATTTTCTGGGCTCTAGAAGAAGCTGGATCAGGAGCAATGTAAGAAACTTTATTTTTATGCACGAAAATTCAGTGAATGCTTTATACCATTTCTAGCAAACGATTCTCAGGAGAGACCATTGTTGGTAGACTTGGACCATAAACATCAGCATCAAATATGCCAACCCTGGCACCCATACCAGCTAATGTATAGGCAAGGTTTACTGCAACGGTCGACTTCCCAACACCTCCCTGTACTTTTAGAATATTATTGTAATCTATGCTGATTTCTTAATACTGTTAACGGACCAGACGAGATGCTAATTATGTAAACTAAATACATAAAAAAAGAATTCAACAAGGATAACTATTCAACGCCCAAAAACAAAGGAAATACTTTATATTTTAAAATTTTTGGAAAATTGGCTATGTGAATTTTCGAAATTTGAAATTTATTTTTAATAATTCTGTCAAACATGAAAAAGAAAAAGAACTCTTCTTTCGTTGTGAATTTAAAATTTTCCATATTGACTTGTGAGGAATTCGATGCTACAATTAAATACCTTTATCTGTTCGGTCCACAAAATCAGTAGCATAATGAATAAGATAAAACACAAAGATTCATGTTGGATGCACTCTTAGAAGAGTGGAAAATAGAGATATACAAAATTATTGAGTCAATATTTCCTAGGCTATACATGGTTCCACATGACCAATTATGCCATCTAGTAGGTCCACATTAAAAAGCGGCATAACTTGGAAATGTACCTAGCCAAGCCTGATACACCTAGCCTTATAAGCTTCATGTTTCCTCTTAATACACATAGAGTGCCAGATAAAATGTTAGCCATATTTTTTCCTTGTTTTCTATTTTATGCCTAACTTATGACCATTTTATTTTTGTCAGTCATTTATTCTTACAAATACTTGCACATTAATTTATGTCTTTTGGGTGACATTGATTAAGAATTTATGGTCCATTTGGTCTAACTTTTTTCAGTATTTTACTTTTTGAAAAGCTGTCACAATTTTTGGCTAAAATTTTCTTGCTAATTTTCAAAAAACAATTGTGCTGAGAAAGAACATTTTATAATCAAATATTATACAATGTGAAGCTGTACAAAAACCCTGTCCGACATTTTCAAATTAAAAAAAAAAAAAAATTATAATACCAATCCCTACAAGTTAGAAATTTTGTTGTATGTTAAGTTTGTGTCCCAAGTAATTGACTTTATTATTCACTTGATTTGGCCTCAGCACCATTGGAACAATAGTTGTACCCTTTTGCATCCTTTAGGCTCAGGATTTAAGTCCCATCTTTAGGCCTCTCTATCATCAGAATTAGAAACCTCAATTTCCAATTGAATTTATATTGACGTCAATATATGACAACTAGTTGTTCATCTTTAAGTAAGCTATGTCGTAAGCCCCAACTTCTCAAAATAGAAATGGCCATTCCTCACTTTGTGGATTTTGACCCTACATTCAAAATTAACCTTTATGCTCTTGTATGTTGTGAGTTTCCCATTTAGGACTTGTATACATGGTAAGATTCCATCCTAAAGATGGTCTAGTAGGATGAACTTGAAATTTCATGAGAGCAAACTGCACTCCAATATCATGCTGGTGAAATGCGAAGTGGGCATAAGCTCAAATCAGGCCCCTAATAACTACGGCAACTCATAAATATGATGGTTGTCCTCTACCAAATGGTTTTAATCACATCAAACCTCCTAAACAATTTTTATAACATACATATAAACCTTCAAACAAAAAATAGCACGAATCATCTTCACCATTACCCTGTTCGCTGCTCAAACGACACAAAAATTAGGTTTTTGTTGTTCAAAGGATAATGAAAACATGATACCTTGATCGGGGTTAACCATCTATCTCCTCTATCCCATCCTGAATGTTAATAATTCATAAACTTTTATAGCAGAATTTGACTTTTTTTATCAAAGTACTCTTTACAACACAACAAAGATGTTATTAAACATGCAGCTTGCAACAGAGGAAAAACCTCAAGCCCCAAAAATAAAATAATTCCTGATCAGCTCCATCGACTGGTTATAGGAAATCTATAGGACCAAAATTCAACCCAAACTACCATTGAAATCCTTGATTTCTTCCTGAAACTTCAAAAGAGCAGTAGGAGATCCTAGAGCTTATGAGCCATTCAACCCACAAAATTCCAATTTTCGATGTAGGAAGTAGAAGGAAAAAGCAGGAAACAATAATATAGGACAAATGAGGTCAACAAAAAATGATAGCATGAGCAATAAAAATAGTATAAACTGCAACATGAGCAATAGGAAAACCTTCAATTTACTAGTATATGTTGGATCTAGCAAACCTTGCTAATTATTTCCTTTAGAAATTTTTATGATTATTAATGTGGGCTCCAAAAATATTTCCACTGTCGAGTCCCAAGCATTAGATGGTCGATAATCAGTGTAAAACTTGTCGGGTAATCATAATATGAATCATTCAACACATTGTGTTAGCATTATGGCGTTCCATGGAAGATACATGTTGTATGGCTTGAATATAATGAAAATAGTGCAAGGGCTACTGACTAGCACCTGGGTGCAATGTTAAATAAGCATCGATTTAGAGCGACTAATGAAAGTGATAGAACTATATAAAATTTTTCTCTAGCTTATAATTTTGTAATTACTAATATGTTATTTAAGAAAAATATGAGCATCTCATCGCTTGTAAGAATAGATATAGGAAAACTCAAATTAATTATTTCCTTATAAAAAAATAGATCGTCTTCATTACAAAAATTGTGTAGTCATTCTGAGTGAAATTTTATATACATAATATCGCTTATTAGTATTAGACTTTAAGATGAAAGAGTAGAATATGAAAAATAAAATAAAATATTATCCTAAGATTAAATGGATGTATTTAAACAACACTAATAAAAATATTTTTAAGAAAAAGATTCAATATCTCAATACTTAGATTGTTCATGAGAGAGTTAATACTACGTGAAAAAAAAAGTAGCTAGTAATATTAAGAATATTGCAAAATATATATTTGAAGAATAAAAAAGAAATTCTCCTAAAAATATAAAATAGTTGGTAGTAAAATCAAAATATGCAAGAAAAAATAAAAAATAAGGTTTGTTATGAAAATTAGTTTAGATGTAAAAAGCTCGAAAAATTGGAAAAGATGTAGAAGAGCAATAGAGAGTCTTAGAAAGCAATATGTAATGCAAAGAATTTAGGTTTTAATAATCTATATAATAGATTAGATACTAAGGAGGGCAAAAGATGTATGTATATATATATATTAGTCAAGCAAAGAGTTAGAAGAAATAAAGATTTAGTTCAAATAAAGTGCATTAAGGATAAAAATCTTATAAGAGGATGTTCAACAAAGTTGGATGAGATATTTCGATAAACTTTTCAAAGAAAATTGTGAGAATATAATTGAATTTAGTGAACTTAATATCCTAAATGAATTTACAAATTTTTATTTTAATCATCGTATTAGTAAAATCGAAGTTGGAGAGGCTTTAAAAGGCTATTTGGCAACAAATAGGATTTTACTTTAGTGGGATTTAGTAAATCCTGTAAATTTGGATTTAATAAATCCTAAGGTTGTTAGATGTTGAAAATTATTTAGTATGATTTAAGTTAAATCCTGAGAAATTGTTTAACAACATAATCCAAAATTTAAGGCACTTGGTTTATTTAGAAATTAAATTTAATGTGTTTTGAATTTAACTTGTATGTTCACTATGAGATTATTTGATAATTAGATGATTAGTAATATAATAAGTAATTTGATAATAAACACCAAAATAATTAATTTGATAATTAGTGATAATTAAGCTAACTACTAATTATATTATTTATCATTGTAGCTTATTAAAGATAAATAAAAATAAAGCTAATAAGCTATAATGATAAATTACTTAATATACTACTAATTATATTCTTAATTCCTGATTAATTTGTTAATTATGATTTAAATTATAAATTATTTAATTAATACTCATATTAATGATTTAATTAAATATTAAACTATTTTAAGAAAAAATATACAACTAATAACTATAATAACCAATAAATTACAATTATTACTTAAACTAATTTAATGACAATTATTCAACTAATTATTTAATTAAATCAGTACAGGAAATTCAGACATTACCGCCGGTTAATGGTTGAATTATGGCGATTTTTTAATAAATCGGCGGCTTTTCAGCTGTTCAAAAATTGCTGGTAAAAACTACGTAGGAAATGGATTTTAGTGGTCTTTTCCAGCGGTTTTACTCACCGGCGGCTTTCCGACGACCTAGACTACCGGTAATTTCCAGCGGCTGTAACGCTGATACGCCGCCAGTTAGTTACCGGAGGCATACCGGCTATCAAAACCGCAGATGTTACCGGTGGCCAAACAGTCGGATAATTGGCGGTTGAATGCCAGCGAACGCCGGTTAATCACTGGCGGCTTACCGGATGTCAGAACCGCGGGAATTACCTGCGGCTAAACCGTCGGATTATCGCCAGATAACCGCCAGCAACCAACAGTAAACCACCAGTAATTACCGTCGGCTTTAGTGAACTTCTGGCGGCTATGATTAGCAGTCCGGTATCGACGTTACCGGCGGTTTGGCCACCTAAAACCTGTAGCATTTGAAAAAAAAATTGACAGCCTCTCCCCTATATTTACTGAATTTCACCCTAAACAATCTAAACATGCACAGAATATACAACAATTATCACAAATATGAGCAACACACCACTATAATCAATCACAACAATTATCACAAACATGTTCATCAAAACAAATAAACTCATCAAACCAAATAAATAAATAAAGTCCTCACTTTAATACAACAAGTTCATCAAACAAATAAGAGTACTAATCATCCTCCGTGCCCTCGCTGTCTAGTGATGCATGTGACTGCTCTTGCCCTTTCTTCTTTTGATTTTCATCTTTATAGGATCGCAGCTCTGCCTGCATCTCATTTTGAATATTTATCATCTCTTCTATCTCTCTCGTCAGCGCTGCAACTCTCTGACTTACACTTTCTTCAACTCTACTAGGATCATAAAATGCTGAGGTGGATGAACTGCCCTCATAAGCATAGCTTTGCGAAGCCAAGCCATATACCCTCCCCCTCTACCTTCCTCCAACAACATCTGACTATATATGATACTAAGAATACTGGGTCGATCCTAAAGATGATCCCTCACCAGTGGACTGACGACTTTCCCTAACTCGTACAAAAACATCCTGCGAGAATAAATCCATAAAATATATTAATATTAGAATGAGTTTTTTATATTAAATTTTTATTCTCAAACTCCAAAAAATTATACTCATATGAGCTTTTTTAGCCTTTTCATTAACCCACTGATAGTCAGCTTGTTGTTGGTGAGTCCTCGTATGTAACTCCAACGATGTCGGCTCCCAGCCAAGAAACTCTTTCTGAAAATAAAAGATATATTTAAAATAATATACATATTTATTAAACTAATTCAAAGCTTTTACAATCATCATCTATGTTTTGTATGAGGAATAAATCCACCAGTATGAAGGGAGCTTCCTAAACCCTCGCAATTAGATGCTCTATTTTGCTCTCTTATTTTTGTGAACTCAAGATTCGCCCGAGCTCTACTTAGATCTGCCCATACGCCCTCTTCAATCCATATTGGACGCTGTCCGAAATTTCTAATGTCCGTGAACATGTCCCTAAGATGGATCGATCCTCTCATCTCAAAATTTATTTTGATCCTCGTGTTATGCTCAGGCAACCACCTAAAATTTTTCTGTAAAAAAATATTAATACAAATTAAATTAAATATTTGAATTCATGTCAAATAAGTATACCTGAAATTCTCAAAATCACATATCTCTAATTTCCTTTGGGATCTTCTTCCATGATAAGTAAGGAGCATCATATTTGCTTTTTATGATATCCCAAATCTTGTGGATAGATGGCCTTGAATAATTGAGGCTGCATGTTAAATTTTTTGTAAATAACATATAATATATCAAATTACAATAAACTTAACAAAATAAACTGACCTTACGTATCACCCTCAAGCTCAATGTATTGACGCTTATCTGCTGCAACTACAAAATCCCTAGCACCAACCTCTGCTGGTTTAGATGGTCCACCGTGTTTTGGCTGCACCGAATATGGGTAATAACAAGGGTGGGTGTAAGGACGGTAAGGGATGGTGGATGGACCAGTTTGTGATGCTGGCGGAGGATAATATGGATAGAATGGAGCTGCATGTGTCTGATCTGAAGAGGGAATCGAGGACTCGTCGACGGAGGAAGGACATACCCAAGAAACGGTGGTGGTACATCAACAACAAGTGGATCTGACTCCCTGACCCTACTCACTAGGGGACTGCTGCCAACTCCTGGGTGGTGGTGGTGATGGTATAACAGGTGGAACTGATCGCTGCCCCTCACTTTCATTAGGCTGTCTAGGTCTGCTAGGTCCAACAGTCAACTTTTTTTTAGAAAACTTTGAGATAAAGGATCTACGAGGAGGATCGTTACCTGAAGTCATCTATAATAAAAGAAGCAATTAGTAAATCATTGTTACATATAAAAAACATAAATAATGATATAATTACAAAATTCAGAATAATGAATTAAAAACATAAAGAATTACATAATACATAATAATGATTAACATTCAAAATAGATTTGACAAGAGATATTTAGCAAGAGAATGATATGTTGACTAACTTGATTTTAAAAAAATACAATTTTATAAGTACAAAAATATATAATTTTATAAATACAATTCTTTAAAAAAAACTACAATTCTAAATTACAATAACTACTCAGAATCAGAAATATTTTCATTACTCTTCAGGGTATCTTCACTTTTATCCTCGTTCTCACTTGATGAACAAGTTGAACTATTCACATCTTCAAACTGCATTTCAATACTATGGGTTGTAGTTGGTATCTCCTCAATTTAAACAAACCTATAATTTGACATCTCATCCTCTTGATGTGCAGTTGCTACAACGTATTATTGATCAGTTAAATAAGTATACAAAGTTCTCATACTCACCTGGGTACTCCAGGTCAAAAACCTCATTCAGAATACTGTAATAATCACACTCATCTTCTTCATGAGTATTCTCTCTAACACATACTCCAGAATTTCATTTTTTTTCCTGCACTCCACGACTTGGTATGAAATTTGAACTCATTCAATATATATATTGGTCAGGTCTTTACTTTTTTCATTGGGCCCCATGTTAGTGCTTGCAAACCTTTATCGAAATAATTGTTATCAAGGTTATGTACCTAAAAAAAATTTAAATGTTAGGATTTTTAGTATTAAACAAGATGTAATTCAAATAAAAATTTAAAAACTCACATAAGATCTAAATCAAGCTGAGAATTCATTTGCAACAACTTGCTCAATATCTATAGAATCTGTCAGAGGCAAATTGCTTACAAAATATCTTGTAACAAATCATCCAAATAATATTTTAGTATTTCAAATAAATATTACTCGTTATACACATTATGGAAGAACATACTCTAAAATTAGTTGGACTTCTTTACAGTTTAGTAGCACATATAAATTAGTTGTTTTGATTTCTAAATCGTTGAGAAATCTTTCAACAGATTTATCACTAGGCTTTCCATGACTTCTAAAAATAGATAGTGCAGCCTATGATTGTTCTTCTACATCGAAGTTCATGTTGCAACCAATTTTTGTTCTTGTACTCATTATATGGGTCTCGAAATAGTAAGAGCAGAAGTGAGTGATTTCTTAAGATAAATATGCTTCACATATCAATCATTCTGGTCGTACTTTATTTTTAACATATTTTTTTAACTTATTCAAATATCTATTAAACAATTACAATTATCAAGTTAGTAAACATATGTTTTCAACTTGTTCAAAAATATTGAAAACTTAATAAAAACATATTTTACCTCTCGAAAGAATACATCTAACAATATTATACAGATTCACCAACTCTAGCTTCGTAAGGTAGATGGATTGGAAGATGTTTCATAGAATAAAAAAACTTGGGCGAAAAGTTTTTTTCTAACTTGCAGAGGATGATTGGTATGTTATCCTCGCTCCTCCGCAAAGCATCTTCGCTTAGTTTAGAAGAATATAGGTCTTCGAAGAAAATTCTAAGCTCGGTCAACAAATTTGATATGTAATCTGGTAACATACATACTATGATCAGAAGGAGAACCTCCATAATTATATGATAATCATGACTTTTTAGTCCAAATAACCTTGCAGATTTCAGGTCAACACATCGGCTTAAGTTTGATCCATATCCATCAGGCATTTGTAAACCTTTAAAACCACTAACATATTGATCTTTTTTGCTCTAACGTGAAATAGTAAGTTGCTTTGGGCTTCATTATTGTAACTCTAGATTTTTTCACCGGCAGTACTCTTCAATGTTCATCATTGCTTTGACATTATCCTTGCTCTTATCTTTAACATCCATAATTGTATTAAAAATGTTGTCCATGAAGTTCTTCTCAATGTGCATAACATCCAGATTATAACTTATCAAATTAGTTCTCTATTATGGTAATATTCAGAAAACACTTTTTTTAATACAATTATGTTGAGCGCCATATCCCGAAAATTTAAACTCTGATAATATTGGAAAATCAATAATTGTTGAAAAGTCAGAAAGTCTTTGTAATATATCATCACCACTTAATCTGGTTGGAGGAGGAGACCTCTCAACTCTATTTTTAACGAATGCTTTCTTATTCCTCCTAAACGGATGATGAGTAGATAGGAACATACGATGACAATCAAATGAAGTATTTTTCTCTACATGTTTTAGTGTGAAAGCTTTAGTATTCTCCATGCAGTAAGAGCAAGCAAATTTTCCTACTATGCTCCAACCAGACAACATACAATAAGCTGAAAAATTGCCAATGATCCAAAGAAATGTAGCTAGAAGGAGAAAATTTTGTTTTATTGAGATGTCATATGTGAGAACATCTTCTTCTCATAATAACTTGAGATCATCAATTAATGGTTGCAAAAAAATATCAATTTTTGCTTTTAGATTATGTGGTCCAAGTATTATAAGTATTAAGAACATGTACGGGGTAGTCATGCACATCTCTAGTGGAATGTTGTATGGTGTCAGTATAACTAGCCAACAAGAGTGGTGTAGCTGCTTGACTATATGGGGTAAAATCATCAGCACATAATCTCAATCTTATCTTGCATGGTTTAGCAACAAATGAAGCATGTACACGATCAAAATGTTTCCACGCTTCAGCATCTAATGGATGAGAAAGAACACTGTTTACTAATTTCTCCTTATGTCATCTCATATGGTCTGCTAAACTCATTGATACATAGAGCCGCTGAAGTCTTGGACTAATCGGTAAATAAAATAAACCGGAATATGGAACATCTTTCTTTTAATGACGTTGTTTTCCCGACTTTGGCTTAAACCGAGGCGCATTGCATGTGCAACAATAAACTTCTTTTGCATCATCCTTGTAATATAACATACATTTATTGATACAGTAATCAATTTTTGTAATAGTGAAGTTCAACTTGGATACTAATTTCTTCGTTCGGTACAAATCTGAAGGAATTAAATTATCCATTAGATTAGTTTCCTTTAGAAGATCAATGAAGTCATTAAAACAATCACGAGGAATATTATATTCAGTTTTGATACTTAACATCCTCACTGTAATCGATAATTCCAAATAAGTTTTGCAACCGTCCCAAATTGGTTTTTGAGCTGCATGTAGTAATTCAAAGAATTTCTCAGTTTCTGCATTTGGTGACTCTTCTGTATTAGCCCTTAAATTATGACCTGCTACATCAAAAATAAGTTATTCATACAATTTAGTCATTTGATCTTTACCAGATGTTTCAAAAGATGAGGATGGATCGGCATGAGTATCTCTATGCGGCTCGTACTCGCCATGTGAGATTTAAATCCAGCAGTCTGGAATAAATATCCTACGATATAAATCAACCTTCACATCATCGGGCTTGAGGAATGCTTGATTTTTGTGCTTCGAACATGGACATCTAAACATTCAATCAAATTTAAAGGAAGGCAGTTGAGATGAACCTTGAATGAAAGTTTCAACTCCTTATATAAATTCATTTGTCAATCATCTTCGACCCGGTAACAATCTGATATACATCCAATATCTCTCTTCTTAGATATTCATTTGGATGATAAAGCAAATGTTTCCCTGCAAAGTTAAGAAAACAATTATTAAAATATATGCAGCTTTAATAATGGTACGTGCTTTACTTTCGAACAAGTCTACTTTATTTGAATTGGAATGCATTGTAGGACTCAAAATAAAGCATTGTAGGTCTCACAACCATCTTATAGAAATTCGTACCCAATTCGTTAGCCTTAATGTTATGAATTTTATTTATTTCTCCTTAGCTCCAAAGCTAAAGAGAACTCTCTAACCTTTAATACAAAAGTTATAGGTTGAACATCTTCTTTCCATTCCTTAGCTTCAACAGTCACAGGAACTCCTAGCTTCAAAAGCCATAGGAACTCCTAACCTTAGTCCAAAGACTAAGTATTAGCCCATTTCTCATTTGGCCCAAAAGCTGAAGAGAAATTATGATTCCTTAGCCTAAAAGTCATGGGTTCTTACCCTCAACCTCAAAATTATAGGGATTCTCATTCAACTCTTAGCCTCAAAACTAGAGGTTTAATTATATTCTCTTGAGTTCAAAAGCTAAAGGGAATTTCCCTCATCCCTTAGCATAAAAGCTATGTGATCCCTTCTCCTTTAGCTCCAAAGCTTTAGACATATAATAACTTTCTTCTATTTACTCCACTATTTTTTAAATGACTCCTCTTCTTATTGGAATTTATCTTATCCAATCAGATGAATTTCACAAAGCTCTAAGCCAAACACTTGGACATATTTACATTACTCTATTAAGTAAAAATAAATAAATTATAAAAAATAAAAAAATTAAAGAAAAAAATTAGAATTAAAAAAAAAACTCTATTAAGTAAACATTTCTCTTATCAAAATACTAAGAAACCTAAAACACACTTAGGCTCCTCGTAATATATGAAAAATCATTTTACCACAAAAAGGTGGAATGCCTACATCATTGCATCTAAGAATTTCAAGAATAGCAGTTTGTCTCAAAACAAGTAATGGTTGTTTAACCGGTTCTTCAGAACCCTCCTAAATATAAAACACTAAAAATCAAAATAAAAATTTTAAATCACAAACAACTTGAAGGGGAACTAATTTGGAGTGTTTGTATAAGAATACATTTCATTTCTCATTTGTATTCTATTTCTTTAAATAGCAAATTTAAAAATTAAAAAAACGCAAACCTACAGTTCGGACGTCGGTTTCGCGCAGGAGTGGGGATGAGATCTTCGGCCATGCTTTGATGCTGGAGTGGGGGCAAGAACTTTGACCAGAGGGAGCTCGTCGGCGGTCGGATTCCTGCGTAGGAGGCGATCGTGAGAGGGCGGAGGAGTCAGGGGGCGAGTGTCTGTAGGGAGAGAGAGGAGAATGCAAGGAAATGAAGTGGAAGGATCGGGTGGCTAAATTTAGGGCAGTTTCTGGCAGCTTTCCGGCGGTTACGACC